CGCGTTTTGGAGCCTGGGAGCCGGGGCGGCCGCGCTCCTCCTCCTCCTCCTGCGCAGGGTCTCCTGCTGCGTTGGTGCTTTGGCACCATCAGCCCCGGATCCAAACTGAGAGGAATCCAAAGGGCAGTAAATCCTGGGCTTTGCCTTTGTGGCAGCGTGCTGGGCTGTTTTTGTAGTTGCAGGCAGAGGGACTCGCCAAGCAGGAAAGCTGGGTCTTCACCCCCCCCAGATAATCATTTGGGAACTGGGTTGGAGTTGTGTTAGATCCAAGAAGGGTTATGGCCTTTTCTACAAGGCGACTTCAGCAGCTGGTAACAAGTAAAAAATGTTTGTCCTGGTGTCCTCGTTGCCCTCAGTGCTCAGGTTCTGCTCTTGTTTGCCTGGGGCTAGCAGGGTGCTGCTCTAGGCTTTGGGAGCCCTTCGAAAGCAGTGAGGGGACCACGTTTCATATCCTGGCAGTTTTGGAGGAGGAGAGCGTTCTCTTCCCATGCAAACACTTCCATGCATTTCTACCTCATTAACATATGAGGTGAGGTTTACTCCACTTCTTGTGCCTGGCAAGTGACTTTTGATTTTGCCGATTAATTAGGAATTGTCAAATAAAATAGTAGGCTGTTCTAAGCAAAATGTGAAGGCACCTGCCCTGCTTAAAGGAGCTCCCAGGCTGTGTGGGGCTGCAGGCAGCAGAACACCCGTGTCCTGCAGAGCCTGCAGGAGGTCGGGGACGGCCGGGGAAGGGACGCCAGGAATTCCCAACAAGCTTGGCTGCTGGGAGCGTTTAATTCCTTTTGTCTTTCACTTCTGTGTGCTTGCGTGTGTTGGTCGTGTGCTTGTAAAACAAGGGCCTGTCTCGGTTGTCCGAGTTGATTTTGGAGCCTTGATTTCAGTGTCTCTCCACTGTTGTCTAATCAGTGCTCAGCTTGGTGTGGGCGCTCCTTGTCTCAGAAATCCCGGTGTTGTTTCACTGTGGAGATATTGCTCCCACAAACCGCGTCCATGGGTGGAATGGGGCAGGATGCTGGCACAGCCCTCGGTAGCCTTGTTCGTGTCTCGGCTGGATGTTTCGTGCCGCTGAACGAGTTTCCCTTTGTGCTCCAGGCGGTTGAGCCCGGTGAGATCAGAGCCCGAGCGGACCCCGCAGCACGCGGCAGTGCGGGCGGCCTGGCCGGCAAGGGCAGCGCGGGGCTCCCCTTTTCACCACATTTGTCTGCTTTAGCCCAACAGAGGGACAAAACGGCCCCGTGATGAAGAGGAGGAGGAGATCAAGGCACGGAGGAAACAAGCGAGTGCCCGGGAACACAGTCGCCACCGAGAAGAGGAGTCTACTGTGGTGGATGAAACCGAGGAGGAAAAGAAGAAACTTCTGCAGATAATGGAGAGGGACGGAGAAGAGGAGGATGAAGAGGTAAGTGGGGCAGGTAGCGGGGCAGTAGAGGCTCTGCAGAGAACAGTTGCCCTTTGTTCAAAGGAATTTCCTCGTGGTAACCTAACCCTTAAGAGGAAAAACAATTTGTCTGTGCGTGTTTACGTGGAAAGCTATCCCTTTTCTAAGCCGGATAATGCTGGTATAAAACTCTTCCTACTTCCACTTGTCGTTATACTTCTCTTACTATAAATAATTGGAGAGAAAAGGAGAAAGTATTTGAGAAGTATATTGACATGGCTTCTTGGGGACTTACATTTCGTTCTGTTTGGACGATGAGGCTACTTGAGCGCTCTCACATCCACATGCAGTGTAAGGGTGTGGTTTGACTTTTTTGTCCTGTAGGTTATTCAGTAATTTCAAACAGGGCTTCCCTAATATATCCTCTGAGGATTTAAAGAGGGAAGGGGGGCGTTAAACAATTTCATTTTATTTTATTTTAAACCTAATCTGTTTTATGCTAGGAATACCTAATCACCTTCCAGGATGTGCGGTTAGGAAATAGCTTCTGTGTTCTAATTAGTTTTCTGTTGTTCTCATCAGTGCGTTCAGCCCTCCAGCTTCCCCCCTCCTGCCAGCTGAGCAGCAGCAGCAACAAATAACCCACCTGCTCCTGGAGAGGAGCGGGCTGGGGTCAGAGGAGCGGGGAGCAGCTGTCAAGGGTAAATGATTTCAAGCCTTGGAGACAGAAATCCAATGCAGCGCTGGCCTTTCTGCTAAGGGCCAGGGAAAAGATCACTTTATAAATGTGACACATGGATTGGTGTAAATCTAGGAGATATTTGCTGCCTGTGTCCCGTTTGATAAAAAAACAAGTGATATTTGCCACTGCAGAATCATGTGGGTTTGTAAAATATCATTGTCCTTTGTGTACAGCATTGCTAGCATCCGTCTCCCAAATCTCCCTTGTTTTTTGATGTTGAGCTATTGCTGTTACAGTTGTTGCTGATAGGCGAGCGGGATAATGCGGGATTGCTGCAGCCCTGCAGCTGCAGGACGTGTGGCCGGAGCCCGGGGCTGCCACGCATGGGCCCGTGTGCCACGGGCAGCTGGCACGGCCGGGCGTCCTGAGCGCCGGGAGCCCCAGGGTCTTTGGAACCCAGGCCCGTGTTTGTTGTTTTGGAGTGTGGTTTATGCAGGTGCCTTCGGGAAGCTCTTTTATTTCAGAGATATAAACTTATATCAGTAAACCTGATGGAAGAGAGCTAGTCTGTGGGACACTTTTAATACTGGACATAGCTTAAACACACGGTATAGATCAAAGTGTAATGGATGTAGTAAATGGAATTTATTAAGGAAAGCAGAGAACTGAATAAAATAAAGGTTACAGTGTCAGCATCTATGGCAGTATCTGTGTGGATTGAAATTCCCTTGTAGAAAGAATATAGTTTAGAACTATGGTATTGATCACTTGGATGGGCCGCTGGGTGGGCTGCCCAGTGCCAGGGCAGATGAGAGGTGGGAGAGAAGGGACGTCCCGTTGTAGCAGGAGACTCTTCACATTGACCGGCGCTGTTGTTGTAAGGGCCCTCCTGGAGGGATTTTGGTGGTGTGGAAGATAGCTTAGCTGCTTGGGCACTCATCAGAGCATCCTCAGGAGCAGACAGAACTCTTGATCCAATCCTGGACTGGAGATACACAGCTGGGGTTGGGATGTGGAGGGTCTTTTAGCAGTAGTGATTGTAGCATAGCCACGTTGAGATACCAGCAGAAGGGGCAGGGGCCGCACCGCGAAGTTTCAGAGAGCAAAACGGTTCTGTGGCAAAGACCCTTGAGCTGGTCAGAAAAACCCAGTTTCCAAGGGCTTGCACTGGGGAGCTCGCTCTGATCAAAGCTGGAGCAAATCAATAAGTGAATGGTGATGGTGTATGAGCTTTGTCAGCTTTCTGCAGCGAGACCTCCAGTGATTGCAATTTGTTCCTTGCTCTATCCCTAATGGATCTGGGTCTGTACAGTCTTATCACATCCAGAATATTGATTATTCTTCTGCTTTTTGCCAGGAGATTGTTCCAGCCATCCAAATGCTAAGCTCTGTGTTTTGCAATTTGATTAGGAGGAACCTTTGGATGAAAGTTCAGTGAAAAAGATGATTCTCACCTTTGAGAAGAGGTCTTACAAGAACCAGGAGCTGCGGATCAAGTTCCCCGACAACCCAGAGAAGTAAGAACGTGCTCAGCACCGATGTGTTGTGCCTTCTTCCTTTGCTTGATTCAGGACTGAAACAAATTGTGCGTACAGATGTTTTGGGTTATGTTACACTTAGGTAACAGCAGTTATGTATTAGTTTAAAATACAGTTTAGAAGTCACATTGATACTTAAAAGTGGTATTATTGCAAGTGACATCCTTTGGCCATATTCCTTTCATCACTAGCAGTTCTAGCTGCAGCGTGGAGAAGACAATAGTAAGCAATGGTTGGAAAAGTTCTGGTTTCTAAATACTTGCTGTTGTGTATAAGCTTTATACTGTGAAGATTCAACGCTAAAATTCTAGTTTGCTCTTTGCATTTTGGCAATATGTAAATAAAAAAAGTTTAGTATTTGCTGCCTCTTCGCTAACAATCTTTGCCTTGCATTAGGTTCATGGAATCGGAGCTGGATCTAAATGACATCATCCAGGAAATGCACGTGATCGCGACGATGCCAGACCTGTACCACCTCCTGGTGGAGCTCAACGCCGTGCAGTCCCTGCTCGGGCTGCTCGGGCACGACAACACCGATATCCTTGACTGCCCAAGCAGCTCTTGGGGGAGCCTTTTTACAGACAAATCTCTAATCACTTATATCCTAGTTCCAGGCACTACTGTAGATGTTTTTCTCTTCCCATCACACTGAATTCGTCTCCCTTTTCAAGTGAAAGCCTCCTTTCTTCAAGGAATATTGATTCTGTTTTTTTTTCGGTGGTGGTTTTCTACTTTTTGGTTTATGAACTTTCCATCTAAGTTTGAGTGGCTGTATTAGAGTATGGATAGACGAGCAACACAGGAAAAACAAGGCATTGGCTTTGCAGCACGTAGCCCCAACGCCCTGTGAGCTTTTACCTTGAATTGTCCCCCGGTGAGAGGAAAATTGGTTGCTCCTTTTTCGCTGCGAGCTGGGTTGTTTTATGGTAGTTACTATGAACCAGTTCACTGTAACTTTACACCTCATTTCTCACTGTGGTAAATTCTTTGCGTGTTCATATACTCAGCTCGGTCGTCTCGGGGTGCGTTTGTGGGGAGCTGCTCGGGTTGTGGGGATGCCCAGACACCTTTCCGTGATGAGCCGGCTCTTGCTGCGCCGAGCCCTGCGAGCAGCCGTGTCCCGCCTCTCTGCAGAGAGTTTTCAGTCTGTGCTGTCTGTTCAAGACTTTGGTATCCCTAAGCAGGGACAGTGTTGTTTTCTGATGATTTTGCTGACTTTGATAAATTTATATTTGGCTTACTATTGTGCAGACCCTTTAAAAGTAGAGCTTGATCTGGGCTGCTTTTAAAATATTTCACAGTAGATTAAACTGAAGCATCCTGCTAAGGTTTGACGGATGTTGTGTGGGTGCCCCAGCCACCGTAGGGAGGTGTGTGGGCACCCCGGCAGCATTAGGGAAGTCTGTGTGGGCGCCCCGGCCGCGTCGCGGAACGGATGGAGTGGGAAAGCCCCGGGGGATGCGCCCCGACCTTGGGGCTTCCGGCAGCTTTTCTTACTGTTCCGTCACTTCATGAGGTTGGGAAGATCATTTAGTTATTGCCTTCCTCATACTCCCTGTAAAGAGGTGGAGGGTGCTTGCCTACTTTTGAGACCTCCTTTTGAAATATGCAATGTTAAAAGGACTGGTAGGTGCTAGCTATTGTGATCTGATGCAGGGCTCTGATAAAAAAGAAAACTTCCTTCCATGTAGTTCTGTGTATTGAAGAAACTATAATTCATTCTCTCCGAGTGTGCAGTGATTAGAATATAAAAAACAAAACATAAAAATCTTTTGCTGCATAGCAGCCTCCATTACAAAACACTATTTACGTGTTTGCCTATTTTGACTTGCAGCTAAATTAACCTTGGTAGAATGCTGATTTCTGCAAAACAGCAAAGGCTGACACTTGCCTCATATGTGATCTAGAATGGAAATTATCCTCAAGTAAATGTTTGTTAACGATTTACTATTTTAAAGTGCGAATCACCTACTATATTAACTAGTTTTGCAGTTACCCTGTTTTTTTTATTCTTCTTGCTAGCCACCGCGGGCTTTGTGTGCACTGTGTGTGTGGCTTTAAACAGTTGTCTGGGATTTGCTGGGGGGTTTTGGCCTGGGCTGCCCGGGGAGGTTCAGACACCCTCCAAAGCCGGAGCGCGGCCGCGAGGAGCCGTGTCCGGGGGCCAGGCTGTGCTGAGGACTTGTCAGCATTTCAGCTTCTTTAAATGGGTTTGCAACTTGCCCGCTGGTTACTTTAGGGGGAGTATTTTGGCCTGTGAACTATGCTTTTGGGGAAAAACATTGCTATAAAACTGTTGATGTGTTTCTGGATGTGTTGGAACCAGGACAGAGGCCACAGTCCTGCCTGCCCTGTGCTGCTGCTGCAGAAGCCCTGCTGCAGGGAAGCACGTCCGCGTGCTGCAGAACGGGCACGTCGGGTTTTCTATTGACTTTTCCTTAAAACTTAATGGGAAAAGATCTTATAATGAGTTCTCCCAAAGAATACTAGTACGTGCTTTTTAGTAGTTGACAGATGTGGCTCCTTGCAGAACAAGTGTATGGCAGGTTGCTCTCAGTTTGTTCCTTGAGTCCTGCCCCAGCTTTCCAAGGATTGCAGCGGGGCGCCGTTGAGCCGCCTCTCTGCACGAGTGTAAGTGCCGGTGCCCGGGAGGGACCCGCCAGGGCCTGCTGCCCCGGGGCAGGGCCAGGGCCAGGCAGGGCAGCGCCGCGGCCACCGGGACCTTGGGCTGTGTTCAGGGTTGCTGCAGAGCACGAGGAAGGCAGTAATCACACTGCTGTGTGCCTTCTGCAGCGCCCGCGCGTAGGTTAGCTCGGGACTGCAACAGGCAACTTTATTACACGATTTCCTGAGACTAGATAAGTCAGGACTGTAACCTTATTAAAAATAGCTGTATTAAAATAGCTTTATTACTGCTGCTTGTGTGCCTGAGCAAATGCACAAATGGGAGACCTGGGAGGCTGGCTTGTTAGCTGTGAATTTTAAAGATTCATCACAAAATTACCATATAGTACATGGTGAAAAGTGCATATGCTGTTCCACCCCATGGGAGCTGGGGAAGATTGATCAGAGTGTCGGAGAAAATAAGCAAGTGGGGCTAATGAGAGGGAATATGTCTGCTCGTGTAGGAGAGCCGTGCGGCAGTCAGGGGGGCCGGGTGCTGGGCAGCCCCGTGCTAATGAGGGAAAACTGGGCTGCAGAAGCTGTGCTGCCCCTGCGGGCCCGTCCTGTCGCGTTACTGGGTGCGTTTCCCTGCGTTCCTGTTCGGTCCTGTTAATGCAGGATGGTGACTAGTTACCCCAACGCTAGAATATTTGCTTTGAAAATGTCACAAAGCAAATAGCACCCAGGACCACGACCGCGGCGTGTCGCAGCAAGCACGCGGTGCCGTTCGTCGCCCTGCCTGGCGGCCCTCCTCGCTGCACAGGGTCTCCAGCCTGTGTGGTGTCTGTGCCCTCGGGTCGCTGTCCCTGTGCCCAGCCATGAAACGTGGCTGTCTCCGTGCTTGTCCTTAACGCCTCGCACATGTTTCCATAGCAGTGGTGGACTTGCTTCAGGAGCTCACCGATATCGATACTCTCCATGAGAGTGAAGAAGGAGCCGAGGTGCTCATAGACGCGCTGGTAGGTACCGGCTCTGGCTTGGTCTCGGTGGCCGGGCAGGAGCCACCTTGTGCTGCAGAGCAGTGAATGCTCTGGAATCATCACACTTGCCGCAGCTGCACTCGTGTGACCTCCCTGTGGCATCGGCATTGTGCCCCGGTCACTGGGTGCCTCTGGCGTTCCGCGTCCGCGGGCTGCTCTTTTTGGCTGGTGCCTCTGCCCTCGGGCTTGGGGAGCGCCCAAGAGGAAGCCCCTTGCAGTGGAGCGGGCCCGGAGGCCCTGCAACCAGCCCTGCCCTCCCTGCAGGCAGCCCCTGCCAGCGAATTGCTGCATCTGTGAAACAGTCTGAGTCTTGTTCTGTTGCTGCTGTGCTGAACCTGAAAGACAGGAAATTACCGGCTTTCTTTTGTTTGTTTTGTTTGTGGAGGATTGGGGTGGGAAGGCTGTTTTTCTCCTACAATCCTTCCAGCCCAGTCGCTATAATGTTGCCTTCCAAAGGTTAATTACAGTGGCCCTGAGCTGAGTTTCTCCAGATGGCCTCAGGGCTCTTCTTAATTACTGTCCCTGATGGAAAGATTGCTGGATGAATGAAATGGAAGAGAGGAGCTGGTAGAGAAGATGTTTTCTATAAAATGTAGTGAGAGATAGTAAATCAAACAAGTTCTTTCTACGTTTTCCTTGTCACCAGCCCACTGATAATAGCCAAGTTTTACAGCTTTTGTTTTTCTCTGAAAGAAACAGGTCAGCCGTATCTTGGGAGAAATGCTCAGATATCTCCTTTCTTGTTTTGTTTGCTTATTGAGAAGGTAGATGTAATCTTTTGGGTTATCTGTGAAAATTGCAGCCTTGCCTTCCACAGTAACCAATACCTGTATCTTTCCATGGCTTCCTTGTTCAGTGTTCAAAGACAGTGATTCAAACTGGAGTGAAGTTTCCAACTTACTGGGCTTGCACTGTGGTGGGAAATTCCCCAGTAACACTGGGTTCTGTCCCCCTTTAAAGCAGAGAACTTGTGCTAGATTTTTGATTCTGGGGCTAGAATTCTGCTTGCAAATGCAGATTCCCATTCCCCGCGTTGTTCTGTTGTTTGGGTTTCATTAGCTCGCTCCAAGATGTGAAGGCAGGGCCGGCCATCGCGGAGGGTTTGGGTGTGAGTGTGCGTGTGCCTGTTGTTCCTTCACCTGTACCACCCCCTGGGGTGGAAGGTGTCACAGGAACGTGGGTGGACCTGCAGTGAACACCGTGAAGCAACCAGCGAACGCTCGGTGCTCTGTAGTGTCCAGTGCTCAAGAAGGTTATAAATCTCTCAGAATGATTCAGTGAAAAACACTGTGACAAGGTGCATGTTTTTCCTCCAGATGTTTTTGTTTCATGTGAAATTGTTTTTCTTAATTAGAAAGTTTTCTGATGGATTTATTTTAATCCTTCTCTAGCTCTGAGATTTTAGAACAAGACGTTTAATATTTCCTGGTCTGAGGCATGTTTCAGTATTGATGATTGTTGAGGGTTTCAGTAGCGATTGTTCATTTTTCTGGGTGTGTGTGCCTGTGCTTATATAGTGTACATACACACACATATGTATATTTTACATATGCAATTTTTTAGATTTCCATTCACCGTTTTCTCCCTGTCTTGTCTTCCTTTTTTGAATCCCCTTTCCTGTGTTTCTCACGACCATGGCAATCTAGGTGGAGGGCCAGGTTGTAGCCCTGTTGGTGCAGAATTTGGAGCGCCTGGATGAAAGTGTGAAGGAGGAGGCCGATGGTGTCCACAACACGCTTGGTGAGTGCTCGCACTGTCACCTCCTGCCACTCTCCCTCCTCGCCTTCCTCCTCCTGAACTGCTGACCCTGGAGCAGAGAAGCTGCTATGGATTTCAGTCAAGCACCGCCTCAACTCACTCAAACCATAAATGTTGTTGAGCTAGCATTTCTGCGTGACTATTCTGAGGGGATTAATGAAAAGGTGTGGATATACAGGTGAAATTCTGTGTGTTGGGCCAAAAAGTGTCTTTTACTAGAAAAGGTGTGGATATACAGGTGAAATTGTGCCAAAAAGTGTCTTTTACTGAGCATATATTTACTCTGCATTCATCTATGAACCCTACTTACACAGTTATGAGAGCTGTTCATATATTAGTAATATATTTAACCTTCAGGTGGTAAAAAATTTAGATTTTATAAGAGCATGTCATTATCCCTCTGCTCCCCAGTCTTAAATGTCAGCACAGTTAGTGTTTGGCAATGTGCTTGCATTATTAATGCTCAGACCAGCACCCGCTCCTTTCAGACACTCAGGTTGGTGATTTCTTTGATTCTTCCAGTGTCTGAGGACTGGCAGGATGGGAGATGCTGGAAGCAAGAATTTGGGAATTTTGGCTTCTGCTCTTGTGCAGCATGAGCTCTTGGTAGTTCAGGTTTCTGGGGTGGAAATCCCTACTGGAATAAAGGGGGATATCCTAGTCTCCTGCCAGCAGGTGCTGGTGTCACACCGTGCAATGACGGGTTGTGCCAGCGCCGAGGCAGGAGGGAGCCCCTGAGCTCGAGCACCCCTCGAACCGGGTAACGCATCAGTAACCCCAGAGAGAGCAGCAAAGCTCTGGGACAGACCCGGCACAGCGGAGCTGCCCGGGAAGGAGCTGACCCGCGGGCACGGAGGGGACGTGGCCGTTCTGTGTGTCTGTTTTTTCAGCCATCGTGGAGAACATGGCCGAGTTCCGCCCGGAGATGTGCACGGAGGCGGCGCAGCAGGGCCTGCTGCAGTGGCTGCTCAAGAGGCTCAAGGTGAGAGTTCGGGTCGGCCTGCCCACTGTGCCGGGCCAAACACTGTTACCGGCTCCTCCGTGTTTTATAGGTTATCATTTGCCACAATATTTGTGAATACGGTGAATTCAGAACTCTCCTCAAACTGAAAAATGTCCCTTTTATTTAAATGTACATAAGCAAAGGTGATCGGATTCTGGGTTTTATCTGAACTGTTTTAGTAAAGCATTATTAAGACTTAGCTTCGCACTTAAGTTTCTTTACAATTAGGCTTATGGACTGCAAACTGTATTTCAGCAGTTTTCCAAGCATGCAGTTATTCCTCTGTGCTCTTTGTGCATTGTTAGCAGAAGGAGCCTACGATTTCTGACTGCCGATAACATAATTATGTTACTTTTGCTTTTAAAAATACATATATATCCATATATATATATATATATATATATACACACACACACACCTAGCTGGTACGTACTGAGTGTAAGTCTGCTCTCTGCCTTGCAGTTTTTTTCATTTGCTGAAAAACTTCAACTTGGGAAGGCAAAATAATCACAGCTTGTATTGCTCTGGTTGCTGCAAGAGCACAGGAATGTTTAAGGCTCGAGCGTGTGCATTTTCTTCGTTCTCTTGTGTTAATTCACCCGTGTCTGGGCAAAGAGCAATCAGGCAACATTTTTCCTTGCTTAGAACATGTCTTTGTGGAGGGACGGGCACTAATGAAACCTCCTTCAGTAACCTTTGCTTTTGGCAGTACTAGATTTTGCATCTCTTGCCCTGATGGACACATGTTTAGTATTAAACCCGTATCTCGTCATCGGGGTGGAAGGCTGTGGTGCTGAATACTGTCTATAGGATGAATTGTAAAATCAAGGTCCTATCTAGGAGTCAGGAAGGACATCTGGCACGCAGCATAGGATGTGAATTTCCATTTTCTGCCTGCGTTTCAAGTTGCATAATTGCATTCTGGCTGTCGGAATTGCCTCAGAAGTTCAGGTGCAGAGCTTAATAGCTCTCTTCTCCAAAGCTGCCCGCTTTGCGTGGCGCTTTGTGCAGCGCTCGGAGCCCAGAGCGTGGCTTCGCTGCGTGGCGCGGGGACCCAGCGCCTGTGCAGCGCCAGCACCACCTCCCGCATCAGTATGGAGGGGCTGCGGAAACGCCGTGATGCCCACGGTCATTAGGGAGCCTCTTTATTTTTTGAGTCCATACATGTGGCCTTCTGGATCCTGCCGTGTTCTGTGTTTCGCAGCGCGGTGCCAGACCGTTCCTGGCGCAGCCGGTTGCGGTGATGGGTGGCCACGCGTGCCCGGGTCCGCTCAGCCACGCTGTGGGCAGCCCGTTTGGCAGGGGGAGGTGGGTGGCAAACGGCGTGGTTAAAGCTCAGTGCCTGTTTTCACTCTCTCCCTCCTGAACAATGCAGTGCAAACAGCTACTGATCCGCTTTCGTAATGACTTTTTTTCATGTTTGAATATAGAAGAATGTGTGAAGTGACAGCTGTGCTGCTGTGCAGACAGCCCTGTGTCCGGTTCCTGCAGGTGTGACGTTGAGGTCCTCATGTCAAAGTCTGAAAGCTGCTGGTTAATGTTAGGGGTTTTCTGGAGTTCTGTTTCTGGGGCGGTGCAGATGTTCAGGATGGGATAAGCCCATGTACTTATATAACAGCGATGGAAAAACTATGTCAGGAGAGAGGCTCTTCCTTGCAAACAACTAGTCCCTTTCTTCCTCAGGCTTTTTGAGCCAATTCCAGCAAGCCTAATTATGTAGGACATTGTGGAGAATCAAAGTTGACTTCCCCCCAACCCCTGAATTCTTCAGAGTTATAACTGTTTCCCACCGAGTCATGTGGCAGAATTACTGCTGTTGTGTTTTATTTTAAATGTTGCTCATGTGCTCAGTGATTTGATTAACATATTCTTCAAATCCAGCTAAACATAAAGTCTCTCATGGCTCTCTCGGTGCTTCCTTCACCAACAGGCTAAGATGCCTTTTGATGCCAACAAGCTGTACTGCAGTGAGGTGCTGGCCATTCTGCTCCAGAATAACGACGGTGAGACACGCTCTGGACACCGATAGCTGCTAGGAGGGGATCCAGGCTTGTTTCACATCATGACAGTGCTCTGCCTTCTGGCTTCCCTTCGCTTGCTCACACATTCCTTCTCTCTTTCTGCTTCTCTGTCTTGCTCTTACTCTGCCCTCAGCTTTTGTACCTTGTCAAGGCATATTGATTTTGTTTGCTGATGTATCAGTGTTAGATGGCTGTAAAATCTGACAGTTAGCTTCATTTTTCTCTCTCCATTTTTTTTTCCTCCTGTCTAGACAACAGAGAATTGCTTGGGGAGCTGGATGGGATCGATGTGCTGCTTCAGCAGTTATCTGTGAGTAATTTGCAAATCCCTGTGTGCCATCAAGGCACTCGCAGGCTGGGAGTGAGGGAGCGGAGCAGATTCTGGGTGTAGCCTGTCCTGGACCCCTCTAGATACTGAAGCCCAACGCTGCTGTACGTTTAGCAGTGGTGAAGTGCCCGAGTAACCTGCGCACAGGCTTCTTGACCGTGGTCAGTGAGGTTAATCTGTTTCACAGATGTGAATGTTGGGGCACGTGGAAGTTAAATGATTTTGTTGTAACTCTGCGGACGGCTGGGAATGGAGAGGGTCAGAACTTGGCTGTGTCTGGCACGTTCCGTGCGTCTGCCCCTCGCCCCGAGCTGAGTGCGGGCAGCTTGCTCTGCACTCGCCCCTGTTTCTCGTGCAGCTGGTGGGTTTCGGGGGAGGTAGGACGCTGTGGAGAGGATCCTCTGGGCGTTGTGCCTGCTCATGGCGGTTCTGCTGCTTGTGTTGGACGTGCCTCTCCCCCGGAGCCCCTCGGAGCCGCCCCTTGGCAGTGGGGCACAGAGGGGCAGGGACAAGGGCCGGTGTGTTGGTGACGCAAGACTGCAGCTCTTCCCACACCCGGCAGCGCTGAGGGCTCTGATGGGAAGGGTTTGGGAACACCCTGCGTCAGGGTGGGCGCCCCAGGCCCTCCACAGCCTTCCCACCGGGAATTCCGGTCTGTTCTTTGTCACACAGGTGTTCAAACGACACAACCCCAGTACAGCAGAAGAACAAGAAATGATGGAGAACCTGTTTGACTCTCTGTGCTCCTGCCTAATGCTGAGCTCCAATCGTGACCGCTTCCTGAAGGGTGAAGGTCTGCAGCTGATGAATCTCATGCTTAGGTACACAGATAGCTTTGATTTTTCTTACCTGTTTTTGCCTATAAATATGTTGTAGCTAACTATATTTTTCTCTTTATAAAGTCTGCTGTTAGTCTGTTTATTCATTTGTTCGCCCCTCCAGCCTGTTAGTTGCATCTTTTCTGACTTCTGACTGCACTTTTTGTCTTCAGCCTTGCTCCCCAAGCTCTTGTGGTAACCCCGTTTCTTTGGGCAGTTCTGTTGGGCATGCACTAGGAAGGAGGCTGCAGGTCAGACCAGGGGTAAGGCTCCTGTGAGAGGAGGAGGAGGAGGAGGGAAGCTCAGGAGGTTTCCGCGGAGAATTTTTTTCTTTGTTCCCCAGTTCAAGTTTCACAGGCTGGGTAGTGCCTGAGTAGTAGGACAAAGATGGCTTTTGTGAAGTGAGCATAAACATGCGTTTCTTCATGACCTGCTCTGCCTCACCTTGAGTCTCCGGGTCGCTCTGCTGCCTCCTCCTCCTCGCCTGCTGGCCCGGTACTGCCCCGCGTTGTCCCGGCAGCGGCTCGGGCTCCCTCGGCCCCGCGTCGCGCACGGCAGGGCTGCCCTCACCCTGCCTGCTGCTCCGAGCTGCCTGCACGCCCGGCGAGCGCCAGCGAGATGATGTATCCCTGCAGTGCATGGCTGGTAATGTGCAGCAGCAGGGAAGCGAATGAATAACCGCAAGTGGATTATTTGGATAGGAACGCTGCATTTTCTTGAGGCTAATTAAAGAAAGTCTCCCAAACTGAGGAGGAGAGGGAAGCCTCTCTCTGCTGCTTGTGCTAAGCTGCTAAGCCAGCCTTGCAGAACAAATTGCTTGACTTTCTGCTGCCGGGTAGGTAGGAATTAGTGCTTCCATGTCAAACAGCTTCTGTCCCTTTTGGACTCCACTGTTTACCAGCCTCTGTACCAGGGCTTCAGCTGGAAAATTATGACAAGAGGAAAATTTCTGCCTGGACACTTGGGATACTTTTTCCCCTCTTCACCTCCCTCCAGTAAGTCACGAAGGGCTTCTAAGGGACAGAGAAGGATTTAACTGCCAGCAGCATCTGTGCTGCTGCCCGGGCTCCACACAGAGCTGCAGCTGGGAGCACGGAGTGCAGAATCCCATCGGGAGCAGCCCTGGAAACACCAGGCAGGCCCAGGGCTCATCCGCTGACATGAGCTGCTTTGAGGGGAACGTGGGTGTCTTCCGGCTGTCATCGTGTCTAGTTGAAGAATTTTCTAAGACCTCAGGTTTTTGAGGCTTAGGAACCAAATTTATTCTCCAGTCTGTATGGGACTAGTAAAATGACAGTGGAAGTAAAAAATAAGGTCATGGAATCCTTTTTGGAAGGTTTTGTCACTGCTCTTGTCTGGTAAGCAGGGACTCTGCTGATGGTTTTTATACATATATTCTTGTCTTCTAGCCTAGTTCAGGTCAGCAGACAAGCTCTTACCTGGCAGGCTGAGCAGGTAGTTGGGGTTGCCAGGTTGGCCCCCAGCCCCACTGCCTTCTGGCCCGGATTGTAACGCAGGGCACGAGCCAGGGCCGGACACAGGGAGAACCTCCCGCTCCCATGGCCGTTCCACCCTTTCGGCTTCACTGGGAAGTGCTCAGCAGAAGCCTTTGTTGCTGAATCATCGTTGTCTTTCTCTGAGCTGCCAAATGGTTGAAATTTCAGGATCCTGACCCACATAATTGTGCATGTAATTTAAAATCGTTGAAAACGGTGAAACTCTCCATATGCTTAAAGCTATTTTCACACTTAAAATTTGGCTGAGTTGGTCACAATGTTGTTTCCTGCCTGGAAGTTTTTTTCGATAGATGTGATATTTATGTTTCCTTATCAGTGCTATAAATTTGCTCCCAGTAGGGATTACACAGACATGACCGTCTGTGTTGTTGTAGTTGTTAACTCACATCTTCAGAATTGCAAGATTGTGGTGCTTATCGCTAATTTCTCATGGCATCTCTTGGAGCCTGAAAAGTTAGTTTCTAAGTGTTTGATGCTTTGGCAATTAATTAAGTTAATTTAAGTAGTAAGAGAATGATGTTAGAGCTAAATGCTCTGCAGATCATCCATTTGGGATGATTAAGGTAAAAAAGATGGCTTGCATGGCCCAGGAGCAGTCAGAAGCTGCAAGAAGGCAACTGCATTGGGAGGAGGAACTCGGAGCTCTGTCTCACTGCTGCCGCGGGGGCTCCATGCCAGCCGGTCCCGGCACGGCCGTGGGCAGCGCTGCGGGATGCGGTGCCCGCTGTGCGGGCTGGCTGGGCAGGACTGCGTGTGCAGGCTGCTGCCAACCCTGCGGGCTGGGGAGGAAGGTGGCTGGAGGTGCCCACTCCGGAGCGGATGGGTGAGAACGCTGGCACTGCAGGCACTTAATGTTTTAGTAACAAGGTGTTAAGTGGCCACTCTGTGACCTTGGCACGGAAGCTCTTACGGTTGCTCAGGGTTGCTCAGACTTTATCGGATGCTGCCGCTTTGGTCTGTGTTGTGAATAGGGCTCCAGCCTGGCAGCTCCGTCCCCAGAACTCCACGGGACGGTCACACCTCTGTGACATCCCTTGACATCTCAGTGGGAAGTAGGGACATACTGCTCGGTAATGCCTGACCACTGCATCTGTGAGCAGGAGAGGGCATTGGCTGCGTCCCCTCAAGACTAGGGAGAGATCTGTGTTTTTTTCTTTTCTTATTTTGAAGGGGGTTTATCACTGCCCTGTCTGTACAGATGGGAGGACGAATAAGCAAAGCTGGAGTTTTTTTGGCATAATGCGCAATAGAGGAGCTGAATGAGAACAAGGTACTGGGCCCTAGTCCACATTATTGGCCTGGGGAACAGCGCTCTGCAGTGTGCTCTGCAGATGCCTTCAGGGTGCTGCCTTCTACCTGGGGTTCTGCTAATGGCTGCGTGCACAGAGCTCCAGAGAACTGCAGCATCCTTCCGCTGAGCATTTAACGGATACTCAAGAGATTCCTCTGGGCAATAAAATAAGGAAAATGAGACTAGCTCCCTTTATGCTGAGATTTAAGCTTATGGCCATCAGCAAAAGGTGCTGTTGTTTTGCGAGAACTCCTGCTAGTTTCTGGGGAGGCAGAAGTGGAAAGGGGCAGGATCCTGCCTGCGCCGGGCTGGGTGCTGGGCGCTCTGCCCTGCACTGCCCAGGGTGCCATGGGCTGCCCGAGAGGGTCAGTGAGTGAAGGGTCCGGGAGCAGAGCGCGCTAGGGAGGGCAGAACGGGGCCATAGACATGGTGAGAGCAGGGATACGCACAGCTGGCCAGGGTGCCGCAAGGAGGTTATTCTGTGTAGTACCTTTATCACAAATAAAATGTTTTATCAATAAGGTGGTAGCCACCAGCAGAAGGTTTATAAATGCCACATAGAATTAAATTCTTCCTTCAACCACAATTCAGCTTGACTTTATTTTTTTTTAGGTCAGGAAGCACTTTTCACTATGCAGTCTTGGCCTGGCCTTAGCAACCTAAATGTAGTTTACATTAAAAAGCCGAGAAGAAAAAAGGAATTTTAACGGCAGTTTCCTTGCACACATTGACAAAAGCTTATTGCTGCTGCTGTGAAAGTGTGCTATGGTGTGGAGGAGACGTGGCCACGGGCCCCTTTTTGTGGGCCATGGTCCCCTCGTCGGCGCGGGCCCGCACGTAGGCAGGGCGCAGGGCATGCACCCATTTGCACTGCTTGCACGACGTGACCCTCAAAAGCTTATTGCTGCTGCTGTGAAAGCGTGCTATGGTGTGGAGGAGACGGGGACCTGGAGGAGACGTGGCCACGGGCCCCTTGTTGTGGGCCATGGTCCTCTTGTCGTCGCGGGCCCGCACGTAGGCAGGGGCGCAGGGCATGCACTGGTTTGCACTGCTTGCACGACGTGACCCCCTTGCAGTGCTGCTCACTGGCTTTGCTTGGCCTCATAAGAGCGTTTGCTGCCTGCGTAGCAAAACCAAAGTGGGGCTGGGCAGCGCTGCGCTGCTCCCCGGGGCCCAGCCGTAGCTATTTCAAGGTATATTTTTCATGATTATGAAAATCCTTTTATGTTTTCTGGTCCTGCTGTTCCTAATCACCCTGCAGAAACTCAGAATGTTTCTGTGTACTGAATCTTTTGGTTAATTAAACAGAACCGTTTTCTACAGCGCTCGTCCAGCAAATCTCGTGCTTTGCTTTTGCTAGTGTTTTGGAAAGTGGGAGGTTGTGCTGTGCTGCTCTGCAAAGCCCAGGTAGTGCTGGTACCTCCTCTTGTAAACTGCTAGGAGTACAAGGAGAGCTTTCTGGACTGGGATGGTGTTGGAAGGAGAAGGCAGTGGTTATGGAGGCAGAGGTGGCTCCCCCTTGGTGGCACGCACGTACACCCATTTTCGAATTAGTGCTTGGCTAAAAGTTGCTGGTGACTCCAAGAAACGCAGATGAGACTAAGATAAACTGCTTGCCCTTCAGTAGAATAAATATTTCAAGTAGAATCAACTCTAGACGGTCCAGTCAAACAGGTATTGATCTCTAAAAGCCTGAACTTAAACCCAATGAATATTCCAGAGTTCAGCTCTCTGCAGCCTTCCTTAACTGCTGATCAATATGCAATTACTGCCCCTGAAAACATTTCTTATATTGCCTAGGCAGAGGAGCACTTTGTTTCCAGCTCCCTGTACAGGAGAGGTGGGATATGTTGTGGGGGAGGGCATCAGACTCTTTATCCTACTTAATTTTGTTCCCCCCTGCACAGTTAATAGGTAGGACTCCTCCACACAGGAGTGGAGCTGAGCCGGGTGCTTTTAGCTCCTTTTTAGAGGATGGGTCTCGGGATGATGTTCTCCCAGCTCTGCAGCTGGGGAGCTCAGCGGGTCCCGACCTGTCACCACAAGCTGCAGTTCAGCCCCAAGGTCCATGACGATGGTGGTGGTGGCCTTTGTGGGAAGCTCATTTACATTTATTGGTAACTATTTGTATTAGAGGTTTATTATCTTAAAGCTGGTTCGTTGTTCTGTGATATCCAGGGAGGAGCAGATGTGCTCCTTGACCCCAGACATTCCCAGTTCTGTTTTCTGAAATGAAAATTGGATATGGGCAACCAAGCTGGCCACACTACCCTCCATGTCAGAAACCAAATTTCCACCCAGAAGTGGTGTCGTTTTAGAGTTAGTCAAATTTTCTTCCTTGGCAAAAGAAATCTCTTAACCCAGTGTCGTGGGTGCTTCAAGATAGCAAGGATGGCTCAACTGGAAGTCTGTTGTTATGTTACAGAAATAATTCTGTGCGAACTTTTCCAATAAGCATACAGTTGATAAGAGCATGTGGGGGAGTATCTACATGTTTGTAAATACACAATACGGCATATGTGTGTATTTTAACACTGTGTAACATATTATTTCTAATTGTAAATCCAGATGGTTTTGGTGGGACAGTATTTATCTTGTGTACTCAACCCAATTTTCCTGCCTGTCTTGTGCTGCTATTTATAAGGTGGTGCAGATGTAGGTGGCGTTTACCTAAGAATATTTTATCTTCCACCAGAGTTTTGAAAAGAAAGTCTTCGTTGATGCTTTCTGGCTTTGTTTTAAAGCTATGCTCAGCCTCTTCATACTTTGTCACGTTAATTTTCCCTTTCTGTGCTATCTTATTGAAGTCGTAGTTCACAACTGGCTTTAATCCAAGTTTCTCGTGTTCCCAAGATGTTTAACTGGCGCTTGCTTTTTACAGAGAAAAGAAGATTTCTCGTAGCAGTGCTCTGAAGGTCCTGGACCATGCCATGATCGGGCCCGAGGGCACAGACAACTGCCACAAATTTGTGGACATCCTCGGCCTGAGGACCATCTTTCCGCTCTTCATGAAATCGCCCAAAAAGATAAAGAAAGTTGGAACAACTGAAAAAGAGCATGAAGGTAGGTCTGCATGCAGATCCCTGCCGGGATGGAGGGGTGAACGGGAAGGGAGCACCGGCGGATGGGCCATCCCCGCGGCGCCGGGCGCGCGGTGCCGGCACGAGCTGTGGGGACGCAGCTGCCCTCGGCTTCGGTGTCAGCAGTGCCTGCTGATTCCAGTGCATGTTCTGTTAATCAGTTATTTTACTCCTGCACGCTCTGTTGTTTGCATCACAGAGGCAGAGCTCTTTTGAAAAGAGTAATGAGGCAACTACAAATGTCATCTCCAAAGCCATGTTTTCATGGCACTGAGCGCTGAAGTGTGACTCGATGAACATCAGGCGTTGCAGAAATAAACTGCACACATTTGAACTTCCTCTTTCCTACTCCTTTATTTCCCCCCTCTCTCCTTTGGAAAACTCTGCTGTCACAGAAACCTCCTGTGCAGAATTGCTGCAAGACCTGTAAGCTGAGACGAATCTTTGTTTGGGCCTCTCCTGTCTCTGATGATGCCTTTTTTCCCATTTTGTTAATAATTGACTACATCTTGAAAGAAATTTTAAATACTGCCAGCATTGTCGGAGATTTTGTGCCAGCTCATTACTGTAAAGGATGAATATTGTCAAAAGCTGGAAGAGGGATGAGTGGATCTCGGGCTTGCCTAGTCTTCAGCTATAACCGTGGAGCTAAACTGGGGAGAACAGCAAGGGAAGAGCACCAGGACGGGGCCTCTAAACCCGGGTGCGGGGAATTAATATCAGCAAGGAGGTTATGATCAGATGCCTTGATATTCTCAAAAGCAAAAATGGAGAGAAGCTGCCCCTGGCAGAGCGACATGGAGCCCTGCGCTACGGGCAGATGCTCTCCCAGGCCGGGGAATCCTCCTGCTCTGGAGCCGTGCGGGGCCAGGCGGGCGCTGCTGCTGCTTGGGCTGCGCATCCCGGGCATGGAGCCGCGGTCCCAGCCACCTCGTGTCACTCTGTGTGGGCAGACTGTGCCCCAATGGCACTTAGGGGTGCTGTGAAACCTCAGCTTGCAGCAGGAAAAGCAGGTAGCGGGATGGGAAGGCTGCCTCAGTCCAGGAAAGCTGAGGCAAGAGTGTGCGCTCCGGAGCGGAGCCTGGGCTGTGCCTGTGTCAGGGAGCTGCAAACGAGGAAAACCAGTTTCCTGGGAACTGGCATCCCCTGCCATGGCTGGGGTGTGCTGGATGGGGGCACATCCCGGCATTCCCGCCTTCTCCAGCAAGGTTGGACTCTGGGCTTGCTGCCTTGCAGAGTCCAGTGAACTATAAAAAGGATGTTTGTTCAATTCATCTTAATTTAAATGTCTTCTCTTGCCTTGGATGTCAGTTTTACTTAAGACTTAATTTGATGACCTTAGAACTAGCTCAGCCAATTTCCCACTGAGAATTTCTTTCACTTTGTGTGGGTTTTTTTTGTTTGTTTCTATCTTTTTTTTTTTTTTTTTAGCCTGAACACCCTCTTCAAGAGAACCCTCTTGAGACATGTAGCTATACATTTCCTTTTCCAAGGAATAGCTCCATTGAAATGTAGCAAGGGCCTTGCAGGACCTGCTGCGTCGCTGCGTGCCCTGGGCACGGCGAGGCTGGGGCAGGATGACCCGTCTGTTAGCCGAGCGCCCCGTTAGCCAGCACAGAACACTTGTCATCCGTGGGCTGAAGTGAATGCGAGGGAAGGCATCAGTCCCTTTAACCAGACCTTGATTATGTCAATTTGTTATTTTTACCATCAACCTTCCAGAATGCAACAGGAGTCTCTTATTTGAATGAGTCGTGAGGCTGAGGCCAGAGTTACATTTATTTCAGTTAAAGTTAACCTTCTCTGCTAGGTGAACATCACAAACAGTTTCTCAGGGGTTGGCAGGAATTTTGTCTTGTTCCCAGCAGGAGGGCTGGACTCCAGCTCCCTGGGACAGCCTGTGCCTGCCTCTTCCTGGGCCTCCCTCGGCCTGTCAGGAGGATGGAAATGTTTCTCCCTGCTGCTGGTGTTCAGCGAGGGGTATATCTCTGCAGAGTGTTTGGAGGCACCTGTTTGGGCTGTCAACAGGGCAGGGGGAAGACCTGTGGGCAGAGGCCGGCGTGCCGGGCGCTGTCACGTTGAAACAGCAGGTCCTCCCTGTGCGGTTCCTTAAGGAGCCAGGTGGGGAGGCCGGGCCCTGCGTCCCGGCGATTGCAGCAGAGCCCCCACGCCGCCTCCCGGGCCGCGGAGCTGCTGGGAGGGCGGGATCTGCTGCGATGGAGCCTTGGGAAAACCGGCCGCCCTCGGCTGAGCCTCGGCGCCTCGGGCCCTTCCACACTCCACAGGTGCTGGCAGCTTCCTCGGGCTTCCCCGTGACCCGGAGCCCCTTCCCGGGCTCGCAGGGCCGCAGTGTGGGTGCCCGGGGGCTCTATGGCCACGCTGGCTCCGGGAGCCCCTGACTTGGCTGCCTGAACCTCCAAGGGTGGAAGTTTCTGAGAGCGGCTTCATTCCTTGCGCTTCCCATCCCCAACTAGAACCAGCTTTTACTGTTGGAGCTCCTGCCCAGACCCAAGCGAAGACCAAAACAAGACTCCGAGTTCTCTTTTCTTTTCTTTTTTGAAAAAGAAACACACTTGTGTGTGTGTGCGTGTAATATATACAACGTGCAATATTCGGCATGTGTGCACGCGCCCGCAGTCATGGAGTCAGGGCCCTGGAGGTGCCGACCCTCCCGAGCCCCGCGGCCGGGCTGCCCCTGGGACCCGGCGGGAGGCTGGGACCCGACTAGAGCATCTTCCAAGGAGAAGGTTTAGTTCAGAAGCATTGCTGGAAAATATTTTTCAAATGCTTGGGTCAGACTGTTTTGTGTTCTGGGTTTCCTGAAGGGAGGTGCATGAAGAATGACCTCAAGTGTTCTAAAGGTGCATACTTTTCTGGGCCTTTCTCAGTAGTTTTGAGGACTTTTATTGATAAATGTAGATAACCGTTTGCCTGTGAGCACCAAAGCAAAAATGACAGCTAGAATGTGCTTCCTTGTGAAGAAATGTTGAAAAAATAACAAAGATATGCTCTGTTGGTGAGAATACTGCTACTGAAGTACGGTGTCAGCACTTCTCCCCAAATAGCATTTGGAAAAAGAGGGGGGTGAAATCCAGAGGAGTAACAAGAGCAGTTGCTCTGCCGTGTGCAGTGTGTAACTTGAGGCACTTGCTTTTCTTTTTTTTGTCAGAGAAGTGATTAATACAGAGCTTGAATGACTTGTCTGAATATCCTTGCAGGGAACAGATGCCTGATGTTGGAGAGCCCTTTAATCTAGCGAACAGAGGCAGAAGCAGCCAGTTGTCTGGGAGCCGAAACCAAAGAAAATCAACCAGGAAATAAAATGCAAATTTTAAGCAATAAGTAGGACCAGCTATTAGAGCAGCTGTTAGGGCTGAAATGTAATTCAAAGGGTAACTCCGAGCAAGGTGCTTCTTGGAAAAGTAGATGTACTGTTATCCAGCAGCCCTAGCCTTGATGCAGGGCACTTGATCTGGGTCTGTGGTGTAAAAGAGGCTGGTCCTGATGGGCACAATGTTCCTTTTTGGGCTAAAAACCCCCTCCAACACTAGTTCTGTTGCTGTAAGCAGCTCTGTATGTTTCCTGGCTTGTGGTCCCAGCCCACTGGGGACCCCTGAGCTGGGCCCGAGGCGCCAGGGCCTCTGCACAGGGCTCAGAGGCCCCTCTGCTCACGGAGGAGCTGCTGCTCGAGCGCTGCCACCAGCCCTGAGGGGAGGAAGGGGACACGGAGTCCCCAGAGCCCGTGGGAATGGGACGGCTCCGACCTCCGGGTTCCTCCTTCCTGCAGCCGGAGCAGGTGAACCCCAGCCCGGGCTGGAGCTGCTGATTTCCTCTAGCTTAGAGGAACCTCTGTTAGGATAGATTTGAGAAATGAAACCCATCCATTTTTCATGCCTTTTCACCTTAAGGAAATGGGACCTTGCAAGGACTTCGGAGGCTTTTGCAGCTTTCTGTTTTTAATGTAGACATCTAATTTGATGTAGTTCTTGTGGAATAACGGTTGCTCTGCAGCAAGAGCCTGCACTGACATACCCAGAGCCATCCTTCACCTCCATGTTAGCCTGTCGAAATGACAGAGCAGCTGAATGGTGCCGGCCACCAGATAAACCTGTTATCTCCTCTGCTCTTCCTGCCAGCAGCTTTCCCAATCTCCTTGGAACATGAAAAATTGACACCACCTCAGGCAGAAATCTGTTTCTAAGGAAGCTACATTTATAAGTAGCTAATGAAACGGTGTGTGCGAGCGTGGCCGTATCCTATCCCCGCTCGCCGGCCGGCCCGACGCGCGGGTGATGGGCGCTGCGGGGAGGGCAGCCCCGGTCCGGTTCTGCGCGTGGGCCGTGATGGGGCTGCTCGTGGCTCTGGGCTCCGTGGCGCCGTGCACGCACCTGTTAAAAGCTCTGACAGCAGTAATGTGATGATCCCTTGGTGCATCGTATTTTTCTCTCTGAAAATAACAAACCTTGACACCCTTCCTCCCTGCTCCCACTTGAGGTGAGGAAATTTTTATAGCCGCTATTTTTCATCAGTCTTAATCGACAAGATTAAAGGGAAGACATCTAGGAGCGGTTATAGTTTTGAATATATTGAAATATCTGATACATGAGGTCTGTACTTAATGCGGGCTTGCAGGCAGGCAGCAATACCTGTGAAGTGATCTGGCAGGAAGAGAAACCGGTGCCTCTGTCGCTTGCTCTGTGCCTTTGTGTTCCTTTTTATTTCCCTGTGTTAAAACCATGTTCTCTTTGATACCCTGCCTCATTTCTGATGTTGGCTTATGTTTTGCAAATGATTTACATCTCTGCATATCCTGAGCCCTGTACAAGTGATGTAAGGAGTGCAAATGAGTGCTGTGCGTGTCCCGCAATAGTCCCTTTCCACAGAGGAGAACAAGACGCTTTGTCCCCTGGGTTCCCTCTGTGACCTCCGCCTCGTTCCAGGCACGAACCTGGGCCTGGCTGGGCTGTGTCCCCCCCGAAATCATTCACTGGCAAAATGCAAAGCACTGGAGCTCGTGACGGCTGCAGAGTGGGAGACTGGTTGGAAATATGTTGCAAAACCCCTATGATTTTATACCTGCGTTTTATATAAATTGCGCATAAAACTGGTGAATCCTTCTGAAGAAGCAAGGGCACAGAAGCACTTCTACTTCACTGAAGTCTGGTAAAGCCAGATACTAGTGTTTAAAGAAGCATAACACATCCCGTAAGTGTAGAGCTTTAGAACAGCGGTTTGCTTCCTTGTCTTCTGAAGCAGAGAGCTCGGTCCACAGTTCTGAAATGCTCCTTTGCCTGAACTCCTTGAATGTATTTGCTGCTCTGCAGGAACCGGCTTTTGCTGAGGGAGGGACCAGATTTTGTTCAGAACAGCCAGGAGAGACTCTGCTGTGATGTTTGCTCAAGAGCAGCTTCTGAAAGATGCTTGCAAGGCATCCACGAAGCGGCGCTGCGTGGCCCTTCATGTGCAGCCTTTGATGGCCTCGACCGAGGGCATCTGCGAGCGCAAGGGAAAAAACTCCTTGGAGCCCCATCCTGCTGCCCGGGGAGGCAGGCGGCGGTAGGGGATGGGCACACGGGGCTCTGCCACCTCTGCAGGTGGAAATTTTGCTTGGGTGTAAACACAGATGTTGCCTCGTGTGTGTGCTCACAAAGCCGGTTCTTCCCTTGGCTCCAAGGTTGGGCCCCCAGGTGGAATCTGGAAGACGGCAGGGCAGATTCGTTTGAGCATTTCTCGTTTGTTGTGGCATATTCATATTCAATTCACCAGACTTCCTGTAAATAGGACTGCTTTGTTTGAGGATTTTTGTCTAGCTAATGCCGATTAAGTCTCTGCAGGAGCTGCGTGCTGGCACTTATTCCTTTCTCAGGCTTTCCTGTGTTAATAGCTGCTCCCTGCTTGGTAGCCCAAGGGTCGTTTGAGCGACAGTCTGGGTCTGGGGCCAGGGTTCCTCTAGCTCCAAGGGAGGAAACAACATGTGGTGCCTTTAGCTGTGCCGGCGAACGCCAAGAAGGGAGGCGAGCTGCTCGGCAGGTACGTCGGCCTGGCAGCTGCACTCGGGCACGACTTGTGCTTTATTTAAGCTGCTTTTCCCAGGGCCGCTGTTGGTAAACTGGGCATACTCCCAAGCAGGATCAGCGTGCAGCAAGTGTATCACAGCAGAATGCAGAGGAGACCTTTCTAGTTGTGCTGTGCTGGGAGAGGAGCTGCTTGTGCTCCTTCTAAAGCCAGCCTGCTGCTAATGCCCTTCTCTCCATGACACGGTGGTGGGAACCAGCGTCCTGCTTACAAGCCGTTTAATACGGGAGCGTCAGTAGTAAATTTATTGGCATGTTACAAAGAAAATAAGCCCCTATTTGTGATCTCAGCATGCAATTTTTATTATGTACCTGCAGAACATGTCTGTTCCATCCTGGCCTCCCTTCTGCGAAACCTGAGAGGGCAGCAAAGGACACGGTTGCTGAATAAATTCACAGAGAATGACAGTGAGAAGGTGAGTGTGCTGAATGCTTGTGCTCACGGGGCTACCAGACTGTGGAGGGTGCTCGGTGATAACAGGATGCCTACGGATGCTTCCTAAAGGACTAAAAACAGTTGCTACATCTGTCTGTAAACACCTGCGTGACACATGACCTTCTCATTCATGTTGTTATCAGCAAACAGGGGAACTGGAAATGCATTTGATGCTTGGCCTCCTGGTGCTCTGACACACAGCAGTAGTGATCCCCAGTCCTGGGGTGCGTGTGTCTTGAATCCCAAGCATGCAACAGACACCACAGAGTTTTACCTTGTGCTTAGCCCTGTGCAACCAGGGGAGTGCAGAGAGGTGGCCGTTTCCTTCCAGCGAAGCTTTCTTGCCTCTTTAGTATGCACTCATTGCTCCCCTAGACTGCAGCATATTAGTGCTGTTTGGGAAATCCTTCCCAAAATGTTTACATGGTGGTTGATAGATCAGGCTACTGCAAGACAGCAAGAAGCAGTTCTTACAAGCCAGTAATTCCTGTGAGGTTTGTAAATTCTACTGCTAAGATAGTACCAGTTCCTCTGTGCTCCTCCTCAGTGTGTTTTTAAAGGTGTTCAATTGCAGGAAATTCTCCAGTGCTGGAAAGGTTTTCAGTTGCTTAGTTCCATACTGTGGAGTCAGGAGAGCCATAATGTATCCGATACATTTAAGAGAAATGTGGTCATATACACCATAGGCCATTTAAGAAAAAAGAAGAATTGGAGAAGTGCAGAACAGGAGTGCGTGCAAGCGACGGCCGCGTGTCCGGAGCTGCTAAACCCAGGCTGTGCTCCGGGCTGCCATCCCGGCGCCCGTGGGCTTGGCGAGCAACTCTGCCCGGTACCTTTCCTGGCTCCTGCAACGTGCCTGTTGTCGGGGTGGAACTGCCTGTTGTTCTGTGGAGGCTGCAGCTGGGAGGAAAACCACGTAGTGCGAAGGATTAGAGATGACTGCATTGCTCTCTTATCTTGCTTAGGTCTCTTTCTGCCTTGCAGGTTGATCGGCTGATGGAACTGTATTTTAAGTACCTGGATGCAATGCAGGCAGCTGATAAGAAGATTGAAGGAGAGAAACACGTATGTGTTACTTGGGCCTATGTGTGTTGCCAGCTCATGTCTGTGATGCCTTATTCTCCTTTCAATTCCTAACTCTCCTGCAGTGACTGAAGGATTTCCTTTAGTTTATTTGCCTTGGCTGTGTTCTGCACAGCTTCTTGCGCACTGGGGAGTATAATCTCAACAGGGGAGTGACACCCAAATGTCACCCGCCCAGGACTCCTGGCACAGCCAGATCGTTCTTCTGAAAAGGCCCTCCATACCTGGGCGGCTGCTATCCCTTAGTTCCTGTTACCCCACTCCAGCTTGTGGTTATCTCAGATGAAATGGGCTGAGAATGACTTTACAGCAAGTGCTCCGGGGTCATTTGTTAGAGGGAATTTCCCTAGGAGGGCCTGGATCGGTGCTGCAATTTGCCTTCGCTTTGCTTGGCTGAGGTCTGACGTGGCTTGACAGCGGGGAGCGCGTGAGACGCGCTGAGACAATTCCGGGATCACGTGCGAGGGCCCTGCGCTGCGCTCCGGACTCTGCTGCCTGCGGAGGCCTCCTGCTCCGATCCATGGGACAGGGCCGCGCTGTCCCACCCGGATCCGTGGGCCGGGGCACCCGCAACCGTGCGGAGGGCCCTGCGGCCTCTCCCGCTCGGAGCGGCCCCGGCACACATGAGGAACGGGGCTGCTGCTCCTGGCTCCGAGGGGATGGCCACAGCTTCCCGAAGGAGCAGTGGCCGGAGGCAAAGGGGCTGTAGCCTTCCTGCTGTCCCTCCACTCCCCGTTCATCCTCTTAGAGCACGAGGCAGTGCGTTCTTTACACCTCGGGGTTGATGCCTGTGTCTCGGCGCAAACGTTTCTAGCTAAACTCTTGCAGTGTGAAGGCAGCTGCTATATGGAGCCCTTAAATACAGCCTGCAGAGCTAATGTGCGTAGAAGCTTTTATCCAAAAAGATCCTGAAGCATTCTGCAAATGGTAACACCTGTAGCAAACAGCCAGCACGAAGCAGAAGTGGAGGGAATCAGCATCTGAAAATGCTTATTTTGGAGCCCCTTAATTAGTATATATTCAGTATATAAATTAAAGTAGAAATGAGACGGAAAAGAATCGGGAGAGGCATTTCTTCCTGGTGATACTAATAGGATTTGGCCTTCTACGATGTATTGCAACAGGGAATCTTAAAGCATTTTACACAGATTAACTCACGCTACATGTCACCCCGGAGAAGCAGATTTGTACGTTGCGTGTGGAGGACACGGATTATTTTATTTTATTTGGAGCCCTTGTCCAGTTCTGATCCTGATCCTCTCTGACTGTCCCACATGATTTCAAGCATGTCACCAAGCTGCTGCTCTGTGCTTTGTGTCTCACCTGTAAAGGGAGGATACAGATGCTTTCCTTTTCTGCCGAGCAATTGTGAGACTAAAGGCCCTGGAGCGTGTGGAGTGTTTGTCTAGTGACAGGGCCAGGTAGGTGCCATCTACATCTGGTGGCTTCACCCACTTCTCTCCAACTCTGCTTTTCTCCCCGTTGATTCCCAGCAGAACGAAAACCCTCTTCTGTTCCAGCATGGCGTGCCGCGGGCTGCGTTAAAGCTCGCTCTTGGTGCAGTGGCTTTGTAAGGTCCACATGGGCGGTGCGGGCGGCCACCGGGCCGGGTCTCGGGGCAGCACGGCCGTTTGGGTCCCTGTCCCTGCACGCTGGTGGCACCATGGCCTGTTGAGCAGCAGCTCAGGCAGCGGCTGCCTGGAAGGCCGGTCCGGGTGTTGCCCACGGGCCGCCTCCTTCCGCGGACAGTTGGGACGGGCTCTGCTCGGCAGGGATAACCTACCCGCGAGGACACTGCTCCCAGGAACGCTGATCCCCTCGTTTGCTGGAGTTGCTTCCACACAGGCAGAAAACCCCAGTCTGGAAGAGGGTTCTGCCTTTATGACACTCGGGATCAAGTACAGAGGAAACTCATTAGGAGCTCAGCTGCCTTCCATTGGGCAGGCAATCCTGCCAGTGAAGCCTTCAACCGGCAGGGTAGAGAAGCTCCCTGTGCATCTTTCAAGGGAGGCCTGGGAGGGCCACTGCATTTCAGTGGATATTAGTGGTTATTCAGTCATTGTGATTGATGCTTGGAAAATAGAAATCTATATCATCTTTTTTTCAGCATTCTGAGGGGCGATAAGAGTACTGGACATGCATGGAGTGCATGAAATATGATGGTGAGGCTCCTTTCCTGGCTTGGAATGTTTTTGGAGTATTGATTGCCTTGCTCTGTAGCTTCCTAAAATGGTCAATAGAGAAGGGATTGCTGAGGTGTGACGTGGTTCAAGTGACTTTGTCATGCAGGAGTAGACAAAACCCACGTTTCTGTCCTTCAGATCAGGAAATCGTCCGGCTTTGACAGGATTTATGGAACACTTTAATGTTCGTATTTTTTGCACATGAATCATTGAAGTGGATGACATGAACACTTGATCCTGTAAAAACTGTACTTTGTCACTTGGGGGCTTTTGACCTTCCTCTTGCAGTAGAGGACACAATACCAAAAAAAAGATCTGCAGTTCAGATCCTCTCCTTCCCAACCCAAAGAAAATGATACCTGCTTAGATATTTCATATTCAGGCTCTGCTGACGGGAGAGAGGTTCGTGGCCGGTAGGCAGAGCATCCTGCAGCACATCTTGTGTCACAAGCAGTGAAAACCTGGCTGTGCAGGGACACATCCCGGCCGGTGCGTTACGCTGAGCGGGGCAGCCGGCGCAGGGAGCTCCTGCTCTTGCCCTTCTCTCCCTCTGCTCCTTTTCCTTTCCTCACACTCAGCTTGCTCTAGCGATGGGCTCTACAGCCAGCGTGTCGGGCTGCAGCAGTGAAGATGTGGGGGTGATAGCTGAGACCTGAAGGGAAGGGAGGAATGTCTTAAGCGAGCTGCGCTGCTGAAGAGAGGGCATTGGGAAGCTAAACTCTGAACTGGGCAGTGAGGCGAGAGGTGGCCTGGAAAGGAACTTCCTTCATCTTCACGTTATTTAGCTGTTTGCTTCTGTGATTTCTGTTCTGAAGTGGTCAGAGGTGATGACCGAGCGATTATCCTAACTGCCATGTGAAGCCCTGGAGTGCAGTCCATGTGAGTGCTCTTTTCCAACACCTCATGGCCATCTTACCGTTTTTCTCAGAGTTTTTGCTTAATGAAACCTAGGAAAAATCAAAGCCTTTGCTTAGGAAGAAAATATCTTGTCCTCTCAATTCTTTAATCCCTTATGTAGAAGGCACAAAACCCTGTGGCTTTTAACTCTCTCTAAAATGAGAGATAATTATAGGCAGTGGCTACAGCCTTCGTGATCTCTAAAGAGGCTAGGAAAAGTCAGGAGATGGTTTTGTATTTTTATAGTTCTAGAGAAAATTATGCTCAGCAGGTTTATTCAATAAAATATTCTCACCAGATACTTTGCACTATAATGACTTACAAATTGCATGCTAATTGTGCTACTGTTAAGTTATTCTATCCTTGAAAGAAAGGGATGGGACTCGAAGCATGAAGGCAATGTCCACAGATTTGGATAACTTAAATAGTAATTTGTATTAACCTGGCATTTGATTTCAGTGCAAAGCGGCTGAATTGCCTGGAATTGAGTTGAAGACAGGAGCTAATGCAATGTACGTGGGAGGGGGTGGGTTAATGTCAAGGGTGCAGACTGTAACCCTGCCCTGGGAAGCAGGCGGGTGTTGTAGGGCGGCTGCATTCGTGCTGTCTGTGCTGAGGGCTCTTTCAGGAGCAGGCTGCGGCGCTGGGGGAAGCTTCAGACCAGGCCTGGCTCCTTCCAGGGTCACGGCCGCCCTGTTGTGGTTGCCGTTTCCTGCCGCCGACGCAGAGCTCGTGCTCTCGCAGGAGGTGCTGCTCCCTGAGTCCCGCTTCAGCAGGGCTCCTGGTGCTTTGCAGCAGCCCCAGGGAGTTTTTCAGCTCGTGCAAACGGGCTGCTCGGTTTCCAGCTGCTCGGGTGCGTTCCTGCTAGCCAGGCGGAGGGGAACACGGCCCCTCTCACGCAGCCGGCGCCCAGCGGCTGCGGCCTGGCGAGGGCTCCATCCCGACCTTCCGGCATTCCCAGAGTCTGGTGGTCAGTGTGCTGAAGAGGCCCCGTGGGCTGCACTCCGTGTGGGAACGAGGCTTCCGGGAAAATCCTGCTCCAATTGCACCAGGATGCCAGAATGCATTAAAAAAAAAAAAAAAAAGTCTCTGCACTGATCCATATTTTTTTGAAGCACTGACATGCAGATTAAATGACACAATAACCTTCTTTGATATCACGTTATGAGACTTAGACTTCAGGCAGTTTTTCAAGACCTTCGTGGGTTTGCCAGAGTACTGATTCCTGCTTTTTAGGATCTTCTAAAACACTTTCTGCTAGGAGAAAAGATAAATTACTGGAACAGATTCCTGGTGTCATCTTGAAAGTTCAGTGTAAACAAGGCAATTTGTAATGCTCTGGGAAACGTGGGATAGGTTAGGCATTCATGGGGCTGCATAATTACAGCACGGTGCCTTTACTCCCCTGCCTTGCGAGACCTTAGCACAGCTCGGGCTCTGCCTCTGGACGGTGTCCCTGGGATGTTCTCGTGCACTGCTCGTCCGTCACAGCCCTGTGCAATGCTGTGGCAAGCTTGGAATTCCCCATTGCATGGGGCATTTTTATGCATCAGTGCGCATTTTATGCATCCGTCTCACCTGTTTGCTTCAGATGTTATTGCAGCTTGCTTTGAAATGAGGTGTCTGTGAGCAGAAAGCAGATCGCAACCTTTTTCTTCTTGGTCCTGGACAGTCCTTGCTGTGATGGTCTCGTTTCAGCCACGCGTTCTGTTTGCTCCTGCCTTGCTGCGAGCGTCGGCCGCTTTGTGCCGCGTGTCCCTGTGGCCGAGGGCCCGGCTCCGTGTGAGGACACTGCTCGTGTGTTCGCTGAGCGCGGCTGACCTCGTGTGCGTGTCCCCCACAACACCAACCACCAACAGCCACAGAGGAGCTGTCGTTGGCGCGGGAGGGCCGTGGAGACACACGAGCCCTTCAGAGCCTTCTCTCTGGAGATCTGCGATCTCCTGGGTGCCTTTGCTGTCCTACCAGTGAGGAGGTAAAACCCGGACCCTGCGGCCGTTCTTTGTGGTCCCGCGCAGCGTCCGTCCATCTGCTCTGCTCCTCAGCCCTACCAGGTGGATTGATACATAATGAAGAGGAGGATGTGGAGAGCCTTTCCGGGCCCTATCAGAGCATCTGGGAAGCAGGTGCGATCCCGTGCACAGGGGCAGCAGATCCAGTGTATCTTTAGGTTTCGAGTCTTCACTTGATGCCTCGAGGCCTGTCAGTCCTGCCTCATTACTGTGAGAGAAGCTCATTTTAGCTTCACAGAAGCCCATCTTATTGCTGTCTTCTCCCATCAGCAAGGGGCATCTCAGTACATATTGTTGGCAGATTAGAAATGGCACCTGAGTGCTCATTTGGAGGTTAGCAACTTGACAGCTCTGAGAGAGAGACAAAGTGGAAAGGGGGCTATCTGGTACTGCACTGGGGAAAAGATTAACGTTTAAAGGATGGTTGTGGTTTTAAAAAAAAAAAAAAAGTGTGAAAAGACGTCTTAAAATTGTACTTTTCTTCTAGTACCTGTTCTAGTACCTGTCTAATTCTAATATGTGTTTAATTTACTGGCACAAAATCTCGCTTCTCTGCCGAGAAGGGTTGTTATAACTGCTGCCTTCTCTGTGTAATCAAGACAACAGGCTCCTGGATTCTGCTCGTTAGCATCGTGCTTGGATCAGAATACAGAACAGAAACAAGGTTTGTTTCTTGCTCTGGTGGCTCAAACTTGTTGCCTGTTGAGGCTTTTCTGTTCAGGAATTTAGCCCTTCTGGGCACAGGAGCCTATGTGCTGCTGTGGGGTGAATGAGGGAGCGCTGTTTTGGGGAAAGCCTTGTTGTCCCTCTTGAATGAGGCTTTAGGATATTTCACTCAATGTCTTCCTACCTTTTAGAGGCCAGACTCAGTGTTAGAGCCCAGGTGTGGTCACAGTCATTGAGTGACATGAATAGTGGGTGAGAAGAGGCACCTTTGCACAAAACTAGAATTATTTTCACTGGCCAGAACTGCCACGTAGGAGCTGCCCGACCATTCCTGTGCCCATGATCTTTAGAGCCTGTGTAGATGGCAGTTGATGAGTAATGTCACAGTCTGAAGTACCTGGTGCTAAAACATCTTGCAGTACAGCAAATGCAGCTATGGCATTAATAACTAGACACAGTTTTTTCTAATGCAAATTGTTCTTCCACTGGCAAGCTGGATTTCTGGGAGGAGAGCAAAAGGGTTGCCTTGTGTGCGCCGTGATTTGCTTTTCTTTCTCTCCTTTGGGAGACAGCTGTAAATACCTCTAATTTCAAGTCATTTCGGTCTTAGCTGGACTTCCATAGGACAAGTGTCCACTGCAGTCTCTTCAGCGAGAAGCGTGTAGGGTTAACTTCCCTTCTGGTTACTCTGCCTATGATTAGATTAGAGCACTTGGCTTGAAAAACAGGAAAATTTGGTAGTCTAAATCCACTCTGTAGTGGTGACCTTGTGTGTGTGTGTGTGCCTGGAGCGTGTGCATGTGGAGGAAGCGGCTCTTGTTGAGCGTTGCAGGTAGCTGCTCTTGCTGCCGCTGGCTCTAATGAGAAAATATTGCTCCTCTGGTGGGTGCCCACCTGCCAGCCCGCTGCATAATAAATCACGGGAGCTGCAGCAGGCGAGGGGGGCTGACAAGCTGTTTCCTTAATTAAAATAAAAGTGGGGAGCGGGGGATAAGGGCAGTGGGTCCCGCATGACGTGGGCTGTCCTGGTCTGCTGCCCTCCGGAGAGGGAGCAGTTGGTTTGCTCCTGGTGGGCCTTTCTCGGGGGAAACTGCTCCGAGTTTATGGCCAGGTTGGTTTTGCCGAGAAAGGGCTGTTTGGACAAGACAAACGTGGCGGTCTCTTCCTCTGTGCATCCAGAATCCCTCCAGGCAGCTTTCTCCGTAATGTAACAGTGCGGGAGCCGGTGCCCCGGAGCGCGCGCTCCGCCGAGGGCTCCTGCCTTGTCCCCCTGGCCGGTGAAACTGCGTTTGTGCAGAAGCTTTTAGTCCTCTTTTCCCATTCACCAGCTGATGAGAAACCAAGGATTGTGATGGATGGACTCTGGAGTCTGCTGGAGTCATATTCTGGACTGCTTAATAGCACCCTCAAATGGCCAGTAAAAGAGCAGGTGTTTTGTTCCATTTTGACAAAACTTATAAATAAATAAATACATTGACGTATTCATATTTCATATTCACTGTCTTTAGTCACTCCGTTTAGAAGATGTAATTTGAATGTTTAAATTAAAATTTTAATTTGCAGATGGATACACTTCATAACCAGTGAAGGCAAAAACTCATTCAAAATTGAATTAAATGTTTTGTGAATATAAATGAATTAAAAGAAGTGCTCTTTTGGAGAGAAGTTCGTCAATGTTAATGTTTTGGTGAACAAAGCATTTCTCAGAGTTGGGTATAACCAAAATTTTGCCATTCCTAAAGAAAAAGAGTTTGGAAAGACAGTCACTACAGTGCAAAAATGCGTTGCTTCGCAGGACATGGTGCGTCGCGGGGAGATCATCGACGACGACACGGAGGATGAATTCTACCTGCGGCGCCTGGACGCGGGTCTCTTTGTCCTGCAGCTGATTTGCTACATCATGGCAGAGATCTGCAACGCCAACGTCCCCCAGGTAAAGCCCTCGGAAGGTCAGCAGCACCTCCGGGTTTCCACCCGTGATACGAACCAGGCTCCTTACACGTGTTCTCTCACTGAATAATCTTAATTCTTTTTGGAGGGAAGCACCGTATTTGTAGCACGTGTGTCCATACAGCTCCATCAGGTACAGCAATTAGGAGGGCATTGGTAGCGAGAGGAGCTGCTCTCTTTCATCACAGAGTTCAGGACCTGCTCAAGGCAGGTCTGCAGGAGAAGCACCCTCTTTAAATCCCCCTTGGGAGAAGGGGATGTTTTCCGAGACAGCCTTCCAAAGGCACAGACTAAAGCCAGAGACTTTCTTGGCCTCTGTGCAGTCTGCATCTGCGGTGACTTTGGGGACGCTGCCCTGGGGTGGCTCTGTGCCCCACACCTTCCTGGAGCTGCTGTGGGGAGGCTGAGCTAGGACCTGGACTGTTCAGGGGTGCTGCTCTTCCCTTGAAGAGAACGAAAGGAAATGGGATTGTGTGGAGGGATTGTGCACAGTGTGGTTTGGTGTGGGTATTTTTTTCGTAGCATTGAAGATGACTTGTCTTTCCCATCTCTTGATTAGATCCGTCAGAGAGTCCATCAGATTCTGAACATGAGAGGCAGCTCCATTAAAATTGTTCGACACATCCTGAAGGGTGAGTTGAGGTGTTCCTGCTCGTGTGTGTTCCTGCTCGCGTGTCCCGTCCCCTAGCAGGGCTGGCTTGGCTATCCCTTCTCAGCACGAGCCTTCCCGTGTGATTCATCCTGGCCTCGTGAGCACCTTGGGCAGCAGACAGGGAACACCAGGCTCTGATCAGGGCATACTTTGCCCTGGAG